TATATATATATATAAGCCGTTAATCAACAAATCATAACTAGCTAGTGTGTTAAGAGACTTGGTCACTTTCATTAATTTACTTAAAGAATTACCTGCGGTACATAACTGGGACGATGCCAGCCTTCCACTGCGCAATTTTCATGAATGCAGGCTTGGACATGTCAAAATGCACACGTGGTGGGTTGCACCAGCCTCCGTTATCGGAGGGTTGGGACCAATTAGGAGGGCAAAGATTGGTGGCGGTGACAGTGGTGAAGGCCACGTTCTTGTAACATGCACTCGATTGGTAGCATTTTATCTGAAAACAAGTCCCGCATGCATAACCGTTGTTGAACAACGTCGAACTTAAAGCAACCGTGTCTGTCCCGTAACCATTTTGAAACAAATTTCCGTACCCGCATGCTCCTCCTATATTTGGTAATAACAAAAAAGAAACACTTCAATTAAAGGAATAAGACACTGAATAAGATACAATACAGCGACACCATAATGTTGAGATAACATACCCATAGTGGCAGAAGCAGTCTCATCACCGTAAAAGGTGGCATGAGCAAGAGCCCATTGACTGGGTCGAAATATTCCCCCAGCTTCTGCTTGCTCTCCCATGAACGTCAACATCAATGTAAAAGCAATCAATAATAACAAGGTAGGCTTTTGGAGAATGGCAATCATGGTTAATTAAGTTTTGAATACTTCAATTCTAGAGGAGATCGAAGGAATGCAATGCGATGTTCATTAACAAGTACATGCGTCCTTTATATATATATATATAAGGTACGATTCCCATATATAGCACGTCGTCGAGTGTAAGAAGTTGCGTTATGGTTAGTGATCCCCACGATTGCAAAGTCAACAATATTGTCCTTTTGTTTTTTGCTATGCAGCAATATGGTTAGACAAAGGTATATACGTATGCATAGACGACAAGACAAATCCCGATCACAGGACGTACAATGAATATGTACTATTTTATATTAGTTTAGTTTATTTTTTTGCTTAATAAAGGATTATTGATCCACAGACACAATGGAAAGAAAGAGTAAGAGTATTTTGAGTAACAAACGTGCGGACAAGTTTCATAGGTTCGCGTGATGTATTTCATCCACCGAGCAGCAATTAGAAAATCCATTCTCATTAGTCATTCAAATAATTCTTAAGTTTATCAGTTAGTCAATAAAATTTTCAATATAGCTAGCTGACTTTCGTATTTAAATTGTCTTGTATAGTAATTAACAACCGACTCCACTCCTTGAACTATTGAAGTCCCCAAACCCTCCCACCAAGAACAAACCAATAACAAATAAAAGTTGTTTTAATTATATTATTATAAATTTTTAATTTCTTTAGTTTGCATTATGTGATATTTTAGTTTTTCAATTTTTTTTTTCAAATTTAGCCTAAAATTAAGTAAATTCGGTCCTACCGCTATCAGCCACTTAAAAGCATCAAGCTATTGATTTTTATCTAAATATTGAAAAGTTTACCATTGATTTTATATATGAAATAATTTTAATAGTCGAGGATTTCGAAGTTTAGTGAAATTTTTATAAAATTAATTGAAGGATTTTATAGGATATGAGATTAATGTTTGGATATGAAATAAGAGTGTTTTTTTTCTTTTAAGACCAATTTAATGTTAAAATTGGTTAGTTTTTATTTACACATCAAATAATATCTTTTTAAATTAAATAAAAAATTATATATATATATATATATTAATAGTATTAATAATATTATTGATATAATTTAATATTATTAGTATACTTTTAGACAAACTAATAATTTAATAAATATAAATTAATATATTAATATAATTTTACATTAATATAAATATATTAGGCATGATATAAATATATTAGAAAAATATAAATTTTAGTGATTAAAATATACAAATCAAATATTTAATACCTATATAATATATTTTCAGTTAACCTTCTTATAATATGTTTATAATTATGTTGGTATAGTTATATTTGTTAAACTATTAATTTATAAAAGAAAAGTCATCCTTCAACTCTCAAGAGTTTGTTAAACGCAAGAACTAGGATTCAAAGTTCAATTATTTTGTTAAATAGTGTGAGTCCCTTTTCTCTAGCGTTAATTCAAGTTGGTATTATCAATTTATAAATTAATATACTAATAATTTATTAATACTGATAGTATAATAGTATACACATAAAATTTATATATATATATAT